ATTTGTCTGGGAACTTCAATAGAAGAGAACCATACAAAGAAAACCATGTTCTCCTCTCGAAAAACGGAGCAAGTAAGTAGGAGAGCTTCCCATGGGGTTGCCTTTCAGTGCCTGAGCCTGGTGTTTGATCAGACCATGCACCTGTGGAAGCTTCTGGAAGGCCTGTCCTATGGCACTCACTCCCTCTGCACTTCCTGTGCCCGCGTCCCTGTAGACCGAGAGCTGGGCTGAAGAGGCTGTTTCCTGGCAAAGCTTAGGATGCCTCCATCTCCAAGGAGAGGCTCTCCCTGGGCTTGTGGCTGACAGCTTCTCTTGCTACCCTGCACTTGAGGATGAGGGAAGCGACTCTGCCCCCATCCTCCCAGGCAGGGTGCCTGGCCTTCCTTTGTGCCACCACAGAACTCTGCATTCATCCCTAGTTTGGATGTGAAAACTGCCCAGCACGGGAATGAGCCGCCCCAGGCTGAGGACCTCATGGTTTATCTCTGGGTTCCCAGTGTCTAAAGCAGAACCAGGCATATAGGAGGCTCAAGGGAGTGTTTCAAAGGGATGTGAAAGAGCCCGTCAATTCATGCTTAGCCTATGAACCAAGACCCAGCGTTGGGTGCTGGAGTCATGTGGTCCCCTGAGCCGTGTTTTCTTGCACCTGGGGGCTGGCTATCAAAGGCCTGGTGCTTCTGGGGAGAATATCCTTCTGAGGCCATTGTCAAAGTGAGTGCCCTCTGCGTAAGTGAGGTGGAGGAGGCGGGGGTGGAGAAAATGAACCAGGGACCACTGCCTAGCTCACCCCTCTCTTAGATACTCACAATGCCCCTGGGATATTTTAGGGCTCTAAGAATCCATGAAAGTCTGCTAAACATTGTTTTAGTTAGTGTCTCCCATATTAATTAACCATGCACACCTGTTTTTAAAAAAGCACCTCTAGGCTGGGCACTGTGGCTCACACCTGTAATCCCAGCACTTTGGGAGGCCAAGGTTTGCAGATCACCTGATGTTAGGAGTTCCAGACCAACCTGGCCAATGTGGCAAGATGTCATCTCTACTAAAAACACAAAAACAACCGGGCGTGGTGGTGCACACCTGTAGTCTCAGTTACTCAGGAGGCTGAGGCAGGAGAATTGCTTGAACCTGCCTGAGGTTCAAGCAATTCTGGAAGGCTGAGGTTGCAGTGAGCCGAGATCATTCCACTGCACTCCAGCCTGGGTAACGGAGCAAGACTCTGTCCCTAAAAAAAATAAAGATAAAAATAAAACACTTCTTAACATCCCTGGGAGCAGCTCCCATGGGAGAGTAGTAAGTGATACCACGATCTCACCTAAGAGGACGTTGAACTTGCACCTGGCATGCATCCAGCCCCTGAGGCTCCCCACATCTCCTGACCGTCGATGTGTACTGTACCCTCTCAGCAACACCTGGATAAGACTAAGAGGTAGAAACAACACCTGGAAATTCTAGCACGATGCCCAGAACACAGTAATCATATCATATACTACATACCAGCAGGAAACAGAGCTGCAGAAAACGCTAAAACTGATTTGATAAAACATTCATTTTTTTAACCAGTTATATGAAGGCATTCAGACTTTCTGTCTGCGCCTCTAAATACCTGTCATCTAGATTAGGATTTAATATAATCTATTTTAAAAATATTAATATGCCCATTGTTTGCACTTCCGTTATTAACTCAAGCATCAGAGCCAATTAACAAAGGGTTCCAGACCACAGGCCCCAGCACACTCAGAAAGTAAACAAAACATTCATCTGAAATGCCATACTTTGCACTGAGCTCAGAACAGTCCTGCAGTGAAATTTTAAAGGGTCTGATAACAGTTTGTGAGCCCAGCACAGACAGGGAGGGACGTGCAAATCAGGATATCAATTTTTTTCCATTAGGAAGATTAGATTTTAATCTATTTTCAAAATGCTGGCGAAATGTTTGAACTTTTACACAGAAATAACCCCTTCCCCAGAAAAGGAGAGGTTTTTCTGCAAAATGCCACCAATAATTATAAGCAATTCCTATTTAAAGTAGTATCCGTAGAAATTTTATTTGCATCCTAAATAGGGATTTGCAGATTAGCTATTTATAAGATTCTGTACACAGAATGCCAACTGATTTTAATGCCATTCCTGGGCTTTTGTACTAGGAGATGAAAGGGGGAAAAAACAACATTCCGAAGTGTACAGCTTTATTTTTTCCCATTTATTTAGTATTTGGAAAGATCAGCTGTATATTGCCAAAGTGGTTACTTTGTTTGAGACTAGCTGTCTTCAGCAGTTTACTTCTGTTGCATTAAACTGCCATGATTTAGCTGGAACATGGAAACATAAAAAAAATGAAAGCAGGGAACATGGCATCAGGCTTGGACCGAAGAGAGAGAATTTCCCATTTTCTATTGAAAGAACATCTGTATCACATTTTCTAAACAGCATTAAGCATGCAATTAACATGATCTCTTCGATGTATTGTTTTTATGTGGAGAAATTATACAGGCTACAAAAGACCCGACTTCTCCAGATGAATGACATAATAAGGACAGAGGCCATCCTATCATTGTGATGACTTTTAAAAGGTGTAATTTGCACCCCTCTTATTGGTGGCCTAGTGATACTACCATGAATTTATGTTAACAGCGTGAAGAATTCTGGATGTTCAAAATTAAGTCTCATATTTATTCTTATTTCCAACTTAACCTGAATTAAATTTATGCTTTGTAAGAAATTATAGTAGGAGAAGTTTTATGTTGCTTGGGTGCATTTGAAGAATCATGACATACCATAGAAATAAAACAGCTTCGTTTTGTTTAGTAAGCACTTACTAAATGTCTGTTCAGCAAATGTATAAGGCAATGGAAGTATGAGAATGAATTTGTAATTACAGTAAAGTGACCAGACAGCCAATTTCCTCAAAAATTAAGGAAAGGCCAGGGGTGGGAGCTCACAACTCTAATCCCAACACTTTAAGAGGCTGAGGCAGATGGATCACTTGAGTCCAGGAGTTCAAAACTAGCCCGAGCAATATGTGAAACCCTGTCTCTACAAAAAATTAGCTGGACATGGTGGCATATACCCATGGTCTCAGCTACTCAGGAAGCTAAGGCAGGAGCACTTGAGCCCAGGAGACAGAGGTTGCAGTGAACTGGGATCATGTCACTGCACTCCAGCCTGGGCAACAGAGTGGGATCCTGTCTCAAAAGCAACAATAGCCGCAACAAAATAGAAACAGAAAAGGGGGGAAAAAAGGAGTTTCATGTATAGCAGTTGGGTGATAGTGCATTTTCATAACTTTTATGCGAACTAATCATTTTCCATACAACGACTCTGTGATGAAATTCACATACTATCACTCCCATTTTATGAATAAAGAGACAGATTTAAATTTAAAAGTATTTTATGGTTAAACACTTTCTTCAGGATGAAGACCACAGCCAAGTATCCTGTCTTTTTGTTCAATGCTTTAACTTTATTCAATGGCAATAGTTTACAAAATGAAAATACTTTATCACTCATCAAGTGGATGAGGATGATGTTTAAGGAAATGTCATAGACCATCACTGAAATATAAAACTCTTGTCTGTCAGTATCTTTATTCTCTAAACCAGGCATCCCCAAACTTTTTACACAGGGGGCCAGTTCACTGTCCCTCAGACCGTTGGAGGGCCGTCACATACTGTGCTCCTCTCACTGACCACCAATGAAAGAAGTGCCCCTTCCTGAAGTGCGGCGGGGGGGCGGATAAATGGCCTCAGGGGGCCGCATGCAGCCCGCAGGTGGTAGTTTGGGGACACCTGCTCTAAACACTGGCTAATATTGCAGAGCCTGGAGGCAAGTTTATGTCTTTCTTTTAAAGGTGCTTATCAAAATATAAAGCATTATTTGAAATCAATGGAAAGGAGATTTTTTTTTTTTTCTGAAGATAGTGTCTGGCTAATCTCGAAAAAGACAGAAGACATTTTCTGAGAATCCCACTGGGAAAGACAGATTCTTTATAGGGGCAGAAAAATAAAGATCTGTAGACAACCAGAGCTGACGTGAATGGAACAGTTCAGAAAAGACACACAACGTCCCAACGGGAGGCTGCATTCCTGGAAAGTCAGAGTATCACACAGCTGGCAGGTGGAAACCCTTAGACGTCTCATGTCTGCATCAGAGAGTCTGTCAGGGAGGGTGGTGGCCTAAGATGTCGTGGGCACAGATGCTGTCAAATATTTTGAAGTAGACGGGTGTGATGGCTCACACCTGTAATCCCAGCACTTTGGGAGGCTGAGGTGGAAGGACTACTTGAGCCTAGGAGTTTGAGACCAGCTTGGGCAACATAACACTATGTTGAGACCAGCTTGGGCAACATAACACCTTGTCTCTACAAAAAAATTTATAAGTTAGCCAGGCATGGTGGCACCCACCCTTAGATCCAGGCACTTAGGAGTCTGAGGCTGGAGGATTGCTCGAGCCCTGGAGGTTAAGGTTGCAGCAAGCTGTGATTGTATCACTGCACTCCAGCCACTGCAACATAGCAAGAGCATGTCTCAGAAACAATAACAACAACAAAACCACCAAAAACCAACTAACCAACCAATCAAACAAACAAACAACCAAACAAACAGCCAGCCAACCAACCAACCAACCAGTCAACCAACCAACCAACCAACCAACCAATCAACCAACCAAACAAACAATCAAACCAACCAACCAGCCAGCCAACCAACCAACCAACCAACCAACCAACCAACCAACCAACCAACCAACTAGCCAACCAACCAACCAACCAAACAACAAACCAACCAACCAAACAACCAACCAAATAAACGATATTCTAGCATTTGCCTAAAGTGCTCCCAAGGCTCCCTGGCTTAGACCAACACCAGTTCGAGGAAGGCCTCCTGCTCATCCTGAAGAGCTCCAGTAATCCCTCGTTCAGAGGATGGGATTACAAGGATTTTTCTGAGCAGCTGTTATGCCCCAAGAATGCTGCCAGGGCTTGTCCCGTGGCCTCTGAATGTGAGTAGCAGTGACATTCCAAGACCTGGAGAGAGGCCGCCCGAGTGGAATTTTTCTTGGTCACTCACACGTGGTGCAGTCTGAGGCACATTATTTAACCCACATGAACTCCAGCTGGCAACCTAGAATGCGGATGATGCTACTGTCTACCTCGTGGGTTATTATTACCTTATGGAGGACAAAAGAAGCCAACCCATGTACAATGCACCACTCTCTACCCAAGGCTGAGAAGGGTTCACCGTAGTGGCTTCTGTTTTTGATGCTGTGTCAGTAAGTCATCAGTTTAATGAAATGAGGTAAGTATTACATCACCCTCAGTCCAGAGGAAACTGTCTGATCCAAGGATGTACATCTGCAGGAGGGCAGCAGAGGAGGGTGGGGCCCACTGGATCCCTCGTAGTTTCTGAGACCCAAAGGCGGTTTCTAGAGTAGCTCTTGAGGACAACAGTCGTCATACTGTAGGAACTCATAGGAAAGGCTTTGAGAAGGATTAAATGCCTCTGTGTTTGAATTCTGTGTATTCCACCTCAGCAACACCTGAGCCCTCTACCTGGGACATGTGGATGAGATTCCTGAGAAGGAAGCTGGGCGGTTGTTTCTTGGTTTGGGGCAGAGGAGGAAGTGTTATATACGGTGTTGAGAGGCTGGCCGTGGACCTCACCTTTCCTCTGTATGACTGTCCTTCATGTGATAGGACCACACTTGTCACCATCATACCTGCATCCCAGGGTCAGTCTCCACCTCATCCAGAGGCGGTTAATAAATGCTCCTTTAATTGATGTCAAACAAGTTTTTATTATGTGTAAGAACCATTTCTAAAACCAAGTATTTTTTTTTTTTTTTTTTTTTTTTTTGAGATGGAGTCTCCCTCTGTTGCCAGGCTGGAGTGCAGTGGTGTGATCTTGGCTCACTGCAACCTCTGCCTCCTGGGTTCAAGCGATTCTCCTGCCTTAGCTTCCTGAGTAGCTGGGATTACAGGCACTCGCCACCACGCCCAGTTAATTTTGTATTTTTAGTAGAGACATGTTTTCTCCATGTTGGTCAGGCTGGTCTTGAACTCCAACCTCAGGTGATCCGCCCGCCTTGGCCTCCCAAAGTGCTGGGTTTACAGGCATGAGCCACCTCGCCCAGCCTCTAAAACCAAGTCTTAGTGTCCCCTTTATTGTGGTCAAAAATGTTTAGAATTATAGATAGATAGTCACAAAACATTGAAATCTCTATTGTCAGATTATCAGATCTATTTTATATTAGTTTGTCAATTTCTACACAAGATTATAATCTTGTGTAGGGAAGCCATTGGGTTTATTAATTTTTGCTTCAGTAAATTTGCATATCACACTTTTTTTTTTTAATTTACACCCTCAGAAGACATTCTTGCTATTGGATTAAATTTAAAATTAAAAGGATTAAGTAAAAATTTAAAAATTACTAAAAAAAATCACGATTGATAGTCTTTGAAGAAAATATCCAAAAGTTTAAGATGATAGTCTTTGAAGAAAATATCCAAAAGTTTAAGAGACTTCAGTGGTTGTATAGAATCACAGAACAATTAGTATATTTAGTCAACAGTTGTCATGTATATATACCAAATTGGTTGAATTAATGATGCCATTTAGTATTAAGTGAATTTTAACTTTTTTATTCTAATTAATAAAACTTTGAGCTGGGCGCAATGGTGCACACCTATAATTCCAGCACTTTGGGAGGCCGAGGCAGGCAGATCACAAGGTCAGGAGTTCGAGACAAGCCTGACCAACATGGTGAAACTCCATCTCTACTAAAAATACAGAAAATTAGCTGGGCATGGTGGCACATGCCTATAATCCCAGCTACTCAGGAGGCTGAGGCAGGAGAATTCCTTGAATCGGGACCCCCAGGGGTGGGGTTGCAGTGAGCCAAGACGTTTCAAAAAAAAAAAAAAAAACTGTGTGTGAAACCTATCTTAAATATCTGTTATATTGAACTAAAAATTAACCATGATATAAACACAAAACTTCCTACATATATTCCTCATAACTATTTTATATACTTAAGAAAATTGTATTCCATACGTGTATAATTGAATCTTTGTTATTCTAGCATCAGTTATACATCTGTAAAAGTAAATTTTAAACTTGTTCAAATTAACAATTTCCGATTGTTTATTAAATCTCTTAAAAATGTATTAAGTCTGCTAATAAGTATTAGTAACTATATAAATACACTGACCTACTGAGTAATATTAAACCACTTGTTCAAGTTTTCCTCTATGAGGGATTTGAAATTGACACTGACCTAACTGTAATTTACTTCTCAGGAAAACAAAATTTAAATAAACAATTTCCTCTTCCTTCCTCCAGTACATAAAATATATACATTTTTTAAAAATCAGGCCGGGCGCAGTGGCTCAAGCCTGTAATCCCAGCACTTTGGGAGGCCGAGGTGGGTGGATCACGAGGTCAGGAGATCGAGACCATCCTGGTCAACATGGTGAAACCCCATCTCTACTAAAAATGCAAAAAGTTAGCTGGGCATGGTGGTGCGTGCCTGTAATCCCAGCTACTCAGGAGGCTGAGGCAGGAGAATTGCCTGAACCCAGGAGGCGGAGGTTGCGGTGAGCCGAGATCGCGCCATTGCACTCCAGCCTGGGTAACGAGAGCGAAACTCTGTCTCAAAAAAAAAAAAAAAAAAAAAAAAAAATCAAACCACTTCCTGAATTTTCAAGTCTTTTTTTGAGATTGTTCAGTTGTTGAGTTATGATTTTTAATTAAGAAGAAACTAGTCACTTAATTAGTTAGCTGCTTGTCAACGGCAGGCAGAAGTTCTATCGACCGTTTCCAGAGGGAGCCTATTTTACAAACAACGACATTCAGCAAAAGCAAGTTTACAAATTATGGGCTGAGGACAATGGGGCAGAGATAAGCTAGTCTATTAAAAGCAGGAAAACACAGAGGCTCCACTCTGCTTGCTTCCAGGACTTCCCCATGGACATTCCTGCTTTGCGGCTTAGTATTCCCCTCGAAGCATGGATGCCATTGCTTACAACACAGCAGTGGCTGGACTTGCTACTGATGCTCTCTTAGGGAATCCTGGTGGGTTTAGTATACATGGCAGACCCTGTACATATTTAAAAGGTATGGGTCTCACAGGTTTTTAAATCTGTGCCACAGAATTCCAACATGCCAGCTACTCTCTCATTAATGCCTGTCAACAGCAGCATGGCACTGCCTTTTTTCTTCCCATCTTATGTAGATTATAGTGTGGCCTCAATTTTTTTCTTGTATTCCTGCAATACCTAAATACCTTCTGGAAAACTCATACTTATTTTTTAAGGTATCTATGTTCATATGCATTTGCATCCCTAGCTCTCTTTTATTGTAAAGCGTTCATATCTAGGGCTAGAGTAAACATGAAATTGTCTGATATTTTTGACTTTGTTTTAAAACTGCATGGGTTGGAATATCTTCAATCTTAGCTTCATGGAAAATAGCATTTCTACATTTCCTGGATTTGATCCAACTCTGTTAAATTGAAAATCGGAGCCACACAACTTCTCAAGCCCACCAATGCTCAAAATTGGGACTAGTGGCTTACAATTACCCAGGGGAAAATTCCACTCTAAAAGAACTCGGAATCACCCTCACCAAATAAGGCATTCCTAATCCAACACTTCTCCAATACTTAAGTCCACACTGAAATAAAGCTTTCATTTGAGAGCTAGTCTTACGTACACACTCATTTGTTATTTGTTAGTATTATTTGTATTGTTAACTGTCAGGCTAAGTAATTTAGTGCTTTTCTTCCCCCAACAAAATAATACACTCACAAGACATACACGTATGCACAAATTTCACATGTAATCAAACATTTCTCTACTTCTCTGACAAATTGTCAACCCTGTTTCAGCCATATTGAGTTAATTGAAGCACTAAGTTGCCAACCCAACTATTTCTAGCATTTGCTGAGGGTGACAATTCCTCGGAGAAGGGAACACCTGTCTAGTAAAGGGCTTTGGTTCGAATCCCTGCTTCACCAGTTCATACCTCAGTTCTCTGTGTCTTGGTTTACTTATGCAAGTGATGGCACGTATCTCCTAGATTTCTTGTAAGGATAGAATCAGTTAACATATTCAGAACGATTAGAACAATGGCATATAGCAATTGCTGTCTTTGTGCTGGTTTTTCATCCTCCCAAATTAAAAAACAAAAACAAAAAAGCAACTCATCATCTCAGAATTATCCAGAATGGTTTAAAAATTAAATTTAAATCACATCACTTGAACATTTCTATGTAACATATGTATTTCATGTTTTCATGCCTGACGGTGTCCTTCTGAAATCTGTGAGTGGCTTCAATCATTCTTGTTAGTTCAGTAGTGCTCTGCAGTAATTTCTTGACATTTCTCAAACCTAAGTTATTCTCTGGGAATTTTCTTCTAGTTTCTAACTCCCAGACAGCAGAGCTACACAAATAATTTTGGGAGCCCCCAGAGTCATTCATTCTCTTGGTTTAAGCTAGGCAAAAGAAACTCAGGGTCCAGTTCTGAGATGACACTATTTTCTAGAATGATTCATTTATCGACTTGGGTCAGAGTCATTTCTGCATTTTACCCCACTTTAAACATTATTTCTTCTAAATGCAATGCATCACAAATCCTCCAAGCTGCCTGTTAGGCGGCTCAGAGAAGTGAGAGGGCAGATAATGTCCATTAGATGAGGTATAATGGTGACATGAGTCTAATAAGAATACATTGTGCTTCTAGTGTATTCAAAATGCTTAAATTGCATTATTATAATTTTGTCAGCATTTACTCTAATGGACTGAGAGAATTAACGTGCTGCAGATATGTATATTTTGTGTAACTATCTTGTACCTTTCAGTGTATTTCTTCATTCAGCACGGATGTGGAGGCTGAGCCTGGCCTGGCCACTGGACATACAAACGAAGCAAAAATAGTCCAGGAGAGATACAGTAAGAATGGTTGGTGCAGCAAGGCAAGAGCGGGGCTGGGACAGAAACACTGCCCTGGGGCTGCGGGCTGTGGGAGCTGAAGGGGGTGCTACTGGGGTGGGATTTGCCAGGGTCAAGGGTCGGGGGGAGGTGACGCTGTTGAGGGCAGCTGTCCAAAGCGAGGCTAACAAGGCATGGCACCCTCAGGCCTCTGTGTGCCTTATTCATGGGTTCAAACCCAAGACCAGCCTAAGGAAGACAGCCCACACCGAGACTAGAGAGGTGGGATGGGGCTGACCCAGGGTCATGAAGGACTGGGTTCAGCTTGAGGACGGGCAGCATTTGCAGGATTATACAAAGATGCAGTGTAACCACGCTGGTGTTTGAGAAAAGTGCAACGAAGATGAAAATAGCTGAAGTGCTGCAGCAATAGCAGCTTCATGGGTGTGAGGGAGCTCGGGTTCTGACTGCTTCATGCACACAAGGAACAACGGGGCCATTTGGAGGCCAGGAGAGGCCACGCACTGCCCCAAGTGCCTGGCCTGAATCACCTCACTAAAGTCTTCATAGCTGTATGAGGAAGACCTTCTAAAACCCTCCCGTTTTAGGCTGGGTGCGGTGGCTCACGCCTGTAATCCCAGCACTTTGGGAGGCCAAGGTGAGCGGATCACAAGATCAAGAGATCGAGACCAGCCTGGCCAACATGGTGAAACCCTGTCTCTAATAAAAATGCAACAATTAGCCGGGTGTGGTGGTGCACACTTGTAATCTCAGCTACTAGGGAGGCTGAGGCAGGGGAATCACCTGAACCTGGGAGGTGGAGGTTGCAGTGAGCCAAGACTGTGCCACT